ACTATATGGACGAATCACTCAACATTGTGTCAGAGACAAAGACGGGGGACAAAAGATCCACGACATGGTCGCGGCCTCCACTAAAACAACCACACCATGACTCACCGGATCAACGGATCCGAGAGGTAACAAAACCTGCAGCTTACTGGCGTCCCCACTTAGAGGCCTCGCCGTGAAGGGGACCAAGAACGAGCACTATTGTTCGGATGGGGCTCCATCTTCCCCATCTCAACCGCTCCATGGAAGAACCTAGCCCTATATGTGCACCCGAAGCTTAGATCGTGATTCCCCCACCCACTCACCACCGGAGCAGTTTTCGAAGGGAAGGGACTCGTCGGCGGCACCGGGGAAATGGGCGGGGAACTAGATTGCATTTCTTATCCCTCCCACTCGGCTACTGGGAGTTAGTTAACCATATTGGTAAAAGTTTGGTTCACACAAAGTGGTAAAAATAATGAAAAGTTGTTTGGGAAGACATGGTTATCATAAATCACTACAATGTCAAACACATACTAAAAAGAATAGATAGTTCAAAGGTATACCTCAAAAGCAACGTGGCCATGGACATGAACAATAACATTATTCCAAATGATAAAAGGGACAGAACAAAATGCATACGTAAATAGCCAAGTCATGATGTGAGTGTAATTTTTCATGGAACAGGGCTATTTTCATCACAGCTAAAAAAGCAAGTGTATTATAAGCTTGGTGTAACGAATCGATAAATATAATATTTTGCCTTTCATTCTATATACTATCTAAGCCCAACAAATGTATAGTCAAACCAGATTTAACATGATTCACTGCATTCATGAGATTGTATAGTGACTTAGTGACCGAATACGTGGTTTTGTCTGACTTGTTTATTTTCAAGGGTTTCTTTCCAAATGCAGTGCAATCTAGAGACACTTTTAATTCCCATCAACCTATCACTGTTAACATATACATAATCTACATTAACACTTTAAGTTTTAATTGTGGGTGATCCATCTCATAAGAGGCATTGCATTTGTGCATATTCTAAATTAGGATGTTCTTAACTCTAGAGAGGATATATGCGATGTAATTTTTGAACTTTATCCCGTGTAACCAATTTCAATATTCTCTCGAGCTAGGTTCGAACTTGAGATGAAATTTCCAAAATTCGATAATCTGGGATGGTATAAAAATTTGTGCCTTGAACTCTAGTAATTAGAAGTGAAATTCAAAGCAAAATGTTTTTTGGTAAAAGAACATTTATGATTTCTTTGATATAATGCCAAAGAAATATTCTTTTTTTCTAGAATTTTGGATATTTCTACGAGCTATGAAATACTATTATTATTATTGAAATTTACATCTCGCAGGAATATATTTAATGAGCTTAGGAGTTCCATTCCATTAAGGGCATCGACAATGTATACCAAATTGTTACTGCCAAATGCTAAAATAGCTTTTGGTACCGGTTCCCACCATTTTGTGGAGGTAGTGCCAAATCTTACATTCTTAAGAATTTGATCTCCACTACTATCAATTCTCTGAAAATGCACACTATCCACATCAGCATGGAGCAACATAAGTGTTCAGTTTCCGAGCAATCTGACACATCAGCTGCTGTCAACAACCTTCCACCTTACAATAAACGTGCATCTTTCCATTTTTTTTACCAGGGTAGTCTGTTCCAATTTCTTGTGTTCAATTTCCTTCGGTCTTTGATTCGTCGGTTTTTATGCCCATCCCTATCAACGGAGCGATGTTGTTACCTAGTTGGGCCAAGGCATAAGCGTTTCTTTTAAAGTTGATAAACTTTTAAGAATTACATGGTTTGCAATTTGTATTCAAAAATTTTATCAGTTGTTGGGAATTTGTTAAAAAATCAAAAAAGTGATGTAGTTTGTAAAATTTTCATACACAATTTGAAATTCCAAAATTGTGGAGAAATTTCAAAAAAAAATGGTTAGGACATAAGAAAGTGTTGATGTTGATTGATAATGACCGAAATTGTAAATAACAGAAGCATTCAAATTAGGAAAAACCACATGCTCACGGATGTATCCGTCTGGTCTAGTCTTGCCCACTACTCTCAACTGGTGTTTTTTCAATATCGGTAAATGACCCCAACCTCTTGTAACAGCCCGAGAAGAACATATGAACGACTTCCGATACCGTTTGCACGTTGTGACACGTCCGAGCATTTATCGGCCATTTTTCTCTAGGAAAACTCTTGAAAATGCCAAAGTTATCAAAGATCCAAACAACTTGGCATGATGCCTTGAGTTGGAGGTAGAAGTTGGTGAAATTTTTTTGGGGCTATTTGAGGGATGTCAAAAAACAACATGCTTTGAAACAGACACTTCTGCCTACCTGAACACCCTTCGTTAAACATGATCTATTCTTTAGACATCCTTGAAATGAGCCCATCTTTTGTAAGAAGGTGGACGGGCCAATTGTAGGCATCCATGCCTGGTTTGAATGAGTATTGACACCGTATGCAAGTTGCGACACGTTTGACCATTATTTATCAGCCTTTTTTAACCCAAAAAACTCCAGAAAATGCAAAACTTATTGAAATCCCAAAAAACTTGGCATGGTGCTTTGAATTGGTTATACAATGCCACTAAAAATTGGGGCCACTTAATTAATTGGTATCGAGAAACGAGGTACTCCCAAACGGATTCTTCTGGCCTACTGGAACACTCTCGATTGAACATGGCAGGACTGACACTAACTTTTGCAACAAAATGCTTCAACCTCGACGAGATAATGTTGGAAACGTCGCCCGACGTTGCTACAAGTTGGATTGCCGTGTCGCTACTCAATTAGAGTTGAGACCATCATAGATGGGAGTTGCAACCCCGGTGGCGCACACGGTTCC